CCTCCCCGTCACCTTCCTGCTGGGCCCTGCTCTGCTCTCTCTCCTACCGCCTGTCATCGTCCTTACTGGAAGCTGTCTGCAGTCGGCTATCTCTACTTTCTCACCTCGCTTTCACTCCACAACCTTAGGCAGACTGGCTTGGATCTGCCCCACTCCAGAGCAGCAAAGCAGCGGCCGTCAAGGTCACCAATGGCTTTCTTCCTTCAGATTTTATCTTGAGCTTTAAGGCCCCTCTTTTTTCGGAGCAGCCTTGCTCCTCAGTTGCTTGGGCACCTGAGCCCCCAGACTCCTGTCTTCAGACCATTCCTAGGTTCCCGCTTTCCTAGCGCGCTCCGTCCCGGAACTTTGCAGGTAGGGAAAGCTGTAAGCCCGGAATGGCAGCTCCTCCCTCCTTCAAGGCATTCCTGCAGAAACACCTGGGGATTTGCTTTCTCCCCCAAGAACTCCACTATTGTTTTGAACTCGTTTGTACCCTGGATCCCGCTGCTCAGAGCCCGGCATGCCTTCATGGGGTGTATTTATAACCCCCACTTGGAGAAGAAACACTTGGACATCTGTTTTATTCATTTGCCTCCTCAAAAGGCTGCAGGCTTTAGGAAGGGACATTGACAACTCTTGAAGAGTATGCTGGGAGAGACTGCAGGCTGGTCAGAAACCCAACTTCCATAAAAATCACCCTAAGAAAGAAATGACCATTCTGCCCTGGGGTGGAGGTGGGGGATGATTGGATTTTTAAGGAGGTAGAAGTTCTAGTATATTCCACAAGACCCAGACCTTTTAGATTGCAAGGTGAGATGTACTGCCTGCAGGGAGAACTAAAGAAGATCAAGTCAGATGATAAATGGCCACGGTAAAAGTACAAAGCACTGTCTCCCGCTTCCCGATGAAGCCCACCGGTCTAAGCTCGGCCAGCACTGCAAAAAAACCACACGCCGTGGAGGGCAATTTCAAACTCACTGTCTCTCAAACTTGCTGTCCCGAAAGATCCACCCCAAGCCCTCAGCAGAAGCAGCATGGGGGGAAAAAAGTCTGTGGTCCTGTGTTTCAACTCCTGCCCCAAGAGGTACAGAGGTCAAGGAGCTGAGCACCCAGGTTGTCTCTTCCAGACCCTTCCTTGACAGAATGTGCCTGCCTGGCTTGTTCTGGCGCGGATGCCATCCGCCTGTATGGAGGGCTGATCACAGCGTCTGCCCCGCGGAGCTCACTGCTGTGACTATCTTGGGGATGTTTGCTCATTACCTCACACTGTGTTCCCTTTATGAGGCCCCCCCCAGGAGAAATTCCTGTCTCATTTTAGTACCAAGAAGCGCTGTAATTCTCTTGAGCAATAGATCTGTTTTATCTCATGGACACTGGGAACTGTGTAAGGGACATGGTCTCCTTTCATTTTGGCTGCAGGAAAGCTGAGGAACAAATTGGTGGCCCACCCACAGGAGGAGAATAGGCCATCCCAGGGCCACTTTGGCACTATTCCCGTGTCTACTTTGTCTTCCCTTGCCTTTCCTCTCAGCTTTCCTTCTTATTGTAGTATAGAAAATTGAGAGTGTGTCAGCAAAGATAAGGCAGATCACTGGCCATGCCCCTTTCCCTTTCAGGACATAGCCACTATTAACCACGTCTTCTAATGGACAGTTAAAAAAATAGAAACGACATTACATTGTGCATGCGTCTCCAATTTGCTTTTCCAATGTCCCGAAACTCTTTCCACACAATTAAATGTTCTTGAAATAATTTTTAAAAAATCAGAGTAGCTTCAGCAATTTAATCCTGATAACTTGTACTTCTTTCTCCACTATATGGCTGGCTTTCTGTATGTGTATTTATTTATTCATGTCGTTTCAGTACTAGCAATTGATTCGAGGGCCTTCTGCAGGCTAGGCGAGCACTCTGCAGCAAGCTACACGCCAGCCTGGTTCTGTGTGTGTCCCTGTAGGCATACGGGTGACCGTTGCTTTGAGTGTGCTATGCGATTGCGCTGGGTAAGCATATGTAAGGCGTGACATTCCCATTTGTCAACTCATTTGATGCCCATGATCCTATGAGGCAGAGATATTGGTATCCCCCTTTCATAGGTGAGGAAGCAAGGCTGAGAAAGATGGAAAGGCTTGCCAGGGCCATGGCAGAGGCAGTAGTTAGATCCAGGCACTCTGGCTCTGCTCTCCTAAGTGCTGTCGCTTCTAGCATACCACTGAGATGTCAAAGTCCACCATGGTTAAACATTTCTTTTATTCCCTTTCACTTCTTTTCTGATTTATGTTATTTTGCCACGTTTTAAGTACCCTGATAAGTCACCTGCAGTCCTTTCTTCCACGAGACCAGGCATAAATAAACAGCACAGGGCTGTAAACGACATAAACAGGCAAAGCTCAACCACAACGCCAGGGACTGAGGGTGAGTCCAGGCTGTCCCTGCAATGACACGGATTTATTTCCTTCGGCTGTGACTGGCTCGCCTCCCTGGAATTGCTGGCTTGGGTGGCCAGATCTCAGGAAGATCAGGAAGGCCTTCACCCAAGGAGAATGAGCTGGGCCAGCCCAGCCCTGAGGCCCTTCTTAGTTACATTTTTCAGAGTTTATGAAAAAGACAGTAACAAAACGAGGCAGGCCATGGAGCTGATGGCTGAAGGAAGGAGGCCCTTGGGCCACAACCAGCAGCGGAGCTTTCCGTTCAGGCCTGTTATGAGAAATAAACTGAACAGAAACTACATTTCAAGCTCTGCCCTTTCTCACCTCTGAACTGTTTGGCTGTGGCTGCAAGACAGCCAAAGGTTACCATTCCTGTCCACAGACCTCTTATCAGGGTGACAGAATGAGGCCAGAAGCTTTGTGGCCTGAGGACACCCCCAGGAGACAATAATTGGGTGAGAATATCCACTTGACAAATGTAGAGGGAAAGTTCAGGTTTCTTTGAGATGGGCTAAGCTGCCCAGACTGGCCTTGAACCCCTGGCCTTCAGGAGTTTCACGCCTCAGCCTCCAGAGTGGCTGAGATGGCAGGACCTCAACATCCACAGAAGAACAACTCTGCGCCAGGCTAGGAGCCCAGGTGCTGATGTCCAGATCTGAGTTTTTTACTTTTTTAGTAGGAGAGCTGGGGCAAGTTATCCCCAGCCCCTGAGAACCAACGTCCTTAGCTGAAAAAAATGGAGTTAATTGTTACACTGCAAAGCTATTGTGGGAATCTCCCTAGGGACACTTAAAAAAAAAAAACAAAAAACAAAAACCACCAAGATCAAGGAAGTGCCAAGTCAGCTTGGGGGGGGGGGGGGGCTGAGGGGGGACCTCGGGAGTGCTGAACCGGCCGCACCTCTGGAGTTCTGCACAGACCTGAGCAGGCCGGCATCCAGGTGCGTCCTAGCTGCTTGGCCCATAGCCTCGAGTCCACTACTTCCAGGCCTAAAAGGGAAATTTCGTTCCTTACAGACGAGCTTAAGGCGGTGACAACTCCGTGCGGTTTAGGTGCTGTCCCCGGGTCCCCACAGGACCTGGGACCTAGGCGCGGGAGTAAAGCACCGATAAGAGTTCACAGCCCTTTCCAGGTCCCTTTCCTCACGCCTCTGGGGCCAAGGGCCCATAGGGGGCACGGCCCAGCGCGCGGTGCCACCCGGGCCACCGGGCTGGGTCGGTCGGGGAAGGCCGGACCTCAGCGCGGAAAGGAAAACAAACACAGATGTGTTGGGCTGGGACGGGCGGGGAGAACGGCGTCCTCGCCCCCAGCCCACCCCCGCCGGGTGCGCGGGCCCTGCCCCCTCTCCGGGGTTTCCCCGGGCGCTCCTCTCGCTTTCCCTTTGTCTCCGCTGCTCTTTCTCGGGCTCCCGGGTTCCCAGCCGCTCGCTCTCGCCCTCTGGAGCATCCCGGGGCCCGGCGGCTGCAACTTTCTTCTTTCCCGGGGTTAAAACTTCGCTCGCCGGCGGGCGGCTGCTCGCCGACGCTATTGGCCGGCGCCCCGCCCGGCGGCCCCGCCCCCCGCCCCCTCCGCCCCCCGAGTCCCGGCGCGAGCGGCGGCGGCGGCGGAGCCCTCGGGGGCGTGCGCGCGTGTGTGTGAGTGCGCGCCAGCGAGCGGGAGTGTGTGTGAGTGTGTGTGTGTGTGTGTGTGTGTGCGCGCGCGAGTGTGTGCGCCCCGGGCGCGGGCAGGGCAGCGCGGCGACCGCGGCAGGAGCCGGGCGGCCGCGTCGTCACTCGGGAGGAAGAGGCGGCGGCGGCGGCGGCCGGGGCCAGGGCTGGGGCAGCGGCGGCCGCGCCGGGCATGGAGCTGGCAAGCCCGCGCTGACACAGGACGCGCCTGCAAGCCGCCAGCGGGAGGCTCTCGGCCGTCCGGCGCGCGGGCTCCTCGGCCGGGGCCGGGCAAACTTTTCTTTCTCTTTAGCCATCACTTCGAGGTAAAGTTCCCTTCCGCGGAGTCCCCGGCGGGGACGCGGCCGGCCGGGGCCGGGGGGCCCGAGGATGGAGCCCGGGTGGCGGCAGCGGAGGCACGCGGGCCGTGCGGGCTTGGGAGCCCCGAAGCCCCGCCGCGTCCCAGGCTCGGGACAGCCGCGGAGGGGCGGACGGGCGCGGGCATGCCCCTCGGCTGGCGGGGAGGACGGGGCCGCCGGGAGG